TATTATTGATATAATGATTATTCACTCTTATTTTCAAACAAGGTATAGGTTGTCCATCTATGTTGATCTTGTTAGGCACAAGAAAAGAAATTAGCAACTATTATTTGACATTGCAACATCTGTTATGGGGCTCAAGGTTGTGGTTCAAGATTCCAATGATATGTTGAGCAATTATAAGAAGCAAGAGGAGAGAATAGTGAATTGTAATAGTTTGTAATTGATTGTTGTGATCTAATTCACTTTGGTTGTTTGAGGATTCATTTCTCTTCGTCTAATAGGCAGCATGGTAGGCGAAATATGCATGAAATGCTTGGCTAAGTCCCTATAAACAAAACCTGATAGGCAATATTTACAGAGGGCCATGTCTTGAATGATTAGTTGTAAAGTGCTTTCTTGGAAAGCAAACTTATTTCAAATAAAATTTTGGCAGCCCATGAAGCTTTTTACTAGTTGTGGTTTAAGAAGAAAGGGAGGAAATGTTGGGTGGATATTAAGTTAGAAATCAATAAAGCATATAATTGGTTGGATTAGAAATTCATCTTTTTTTTCTTACAAAAAATAGGTTTTGCTTAATGGTGGAATAGTTTGATAGACCAATGTATCTCTTTTGTAGATTTTTTAGTATTGATCAATGGAATTAAGAGGGGCACTATTTATTTGTTGAAAGGAATCTAACAAGGGAACCTCATGTCTTCATATGTTTTCATTTTGGCAATGCAAGTTTTACAACAATAAAAAAGGCTATCCAATGAAGGCAATTGACTAGATCCATGTTGAAATAGAGGGGGTTGGTGCTCCCCCCCTCCCCCCCCCCCTTTTGCATATGATAGCCTCTTATTCTTGAAGGTCAATATTTCCAATTGCATAGTTATCAATTATAAGTGTAGTGATGTGTCAAGACAACAAATTTGCTTGTACAAGTTTAAAGTTTTGATTAGTTTAAACATTCTAAAAAGGTTAAAGAAAATCATGCTTCATACCCTCAAAATCCCCAACGCTAGGGGGTTTCAAAGTATTTGGGGTTGATAAATTTGGTTGTAAGAAGGAAAGTTGAGTTCTTTTTTTTTTCATTTAAAGGAGATAGGGAAAGCTAAGCTTGCTGGTTGGAAGATGCTACTTTGTCTTTGGCTAAGAGAGAAATCTTAATTGAAGTTGTCTTTTTTTTATTACAAAATATAGTATCACACTCTCTATTCAAATGAATTTTGGGATTAAAACTTTTTACAAACATTTTTCAGAAAATAACATAATATATGTATAAATACATTTGGAAAATCTGATTTTAAATGCAACTGAAATCCATTGCTAACGTTGTAGGTTTCCATCAGAGAGAGTGTAAATCATGATATTCACTTTATTTGACAAAATGGCTTATTCTATTACTATAATCACCCACTTAGGTAATTTTTTAAATTGCTCCAATATGCCCAAATATTTGACCCTCAATTGCTCACACTAATTGACATATTAAAAGCAACTTAGTCTAAAACATAGTGCAATGTCATGGTCAAGTATGGGGTTAAGTTCAATTTTTCAATTTTGCCCATCTATCTCTAACGTTCAGGGCATAACTAGGATTTGGTCTAGATTCAATGTTTCTTTGAAGTACCCCCACTCACTATGTTTGTGGTCTAACCATAGCAGTTGGGACAAGTTGCTTCACCAAATTGACAACATATCAGTGTCAGCCTTGTCAGGACAAATTCTCCAAGCCTATTTAATGGTTGAAAACATTATAAATTAAAACAACTCTTATAAGTGTCTAGTTTAAGGAGTAATTCATACAAACATAATAATTTAAACATAGAACAATAATATATTCATATTATTCATATATAAATGTTTATATACATCAATCTAATTGGAACTAAGGGCATATCCTATCTAACACTAGTCGTATCATTGTTTCATTCAAATATAGTCAAACCAACCACTTTTGTTCGTTGTTGGTCACACCTTTATTTGGTTTGATAATAAATTTCAGCTAACTTGTTGAAGAGCAGGCTATAACTTGCAAACGATATTTGATTGTTCAAATTTGAATTCAATCACATTTAGGGTTTATTCAAATTCGAGGTCCATTTATAATGAGATTGAATATAATCGCACTCATATCTGATTGGATAATATTCAATTAACTTCAATTCAAATATATGCTCTCATAATACTTAAAATTTATATTGTATTAAGGGAAGTTGGTTTAAATATTGCATTTTTATTAGATTGTTTTTGGTTTAAGTTACACTAAAGTTATTTTCAATCTAATTTTTAAGCAAAAATACATTATAAATTTAACGTTTTAACTTGTACGAGCCCAATACAACTACCACCTTTGATATCTAATATTGATCATTTTTAGTTTAAAGTTGTTTATACTATTGAATATACCAGGGTTTTTAAAGTCGGCCCAGATAGGGAACTAGTTTTTGGGTTGAATTGTCTGACAGTCCTGTCTAAACGGACGACCCACTCTAACAAAAAACCAAAAAACAAAAAAAATGCCAAAAACCATTCCCAGGTTGAACGGTTCGACAACTTGAAAGTTTGACTACCCGAGTCCGCAGTTAGTTGACCAAATCAATGGTTTTTGGCCAAATAGCGATTTTGGGGTAAAACAGAACCATACAAGTGACTGGTTAATTCCCGATTTTTTTGGTCCGACCATCCAGTCCAGTCCAGTTTTGAAAACCATGCAATATACTTTTGTAGCCCAAATTATATTAGAATCCCATGGATAATATCCAATCCAAATTATAATATAAACTCACCAAATTTGGATATGCTACTTAGGTATTTTATTCGAATCTTTTGCAGCCCGATCACTTTTTTTATTTTTGGTAAGGGTAAATTACAAAGACCCCCTTGTACTATGATCGTGAGACAAAAACCCCCTTTCCGTTAGCTTTCCATTGAAATCCGCCATTGCAATACTTTTTAATCCCCATACTACCCTTGTAATAGCTATTCAAACAATTGGGAGAAAAACATTGTTCATCTTCCCTGACCTTATGATACACGAACAGTAGTGATGGTAGCTATTGCAATGGTGGCGGACTTTTGTTGAAGTCCTCCCTCTCTCTCCCTCGATTTCTCTTCTTCCGCTTCCCCTTTCTCTCCTCCCTTTTCTTCTTTCCAATTTCCTCTGTTTTTCTGTTCCTTGTAGATGGAGAACAAACAACAGAAGGAAATACAGTTTGAATGGTTTTGAGTGCGACCATATGCACCTGGACCCAGCCTAGGTGGATCGGAGGTGGGTGCCGAACTCAGTTGGCCTGGCACCAAGCCAAGGTGTCTTTGTCACATACCCTAGGTGGATCGGAAGTGGGTCCTGAATAGAGGTGGATTCGAGCCGAGCCGGGCCGAATAGTACCAGTCTCGAGCTCGGCTCGAGACTATTCTACAAGGCTCGAGCTCGGTTCGAGCTAGAACCTTGAGCTCGAGCTCGGCTCGAGTCAAGAGTTCATAAGCTCGAGCTTGGCTTGGCTCAGCTCGTTTTATATTTTATAAAAATATTT